TATATATATATATATATATATATATATATATATATATATATGTGTGTATGTGTGTGGGTCTCCTGGAAAAGAACAAAACCTTTTGACAAGGAGTGATTTTTGTTAGGAATCCTGAGAACATCCATATGCATGCCCGAAAGACCCACTCACCACCACCCACTTTGTCATGATTTGATTGCCATTAACCATTAGCCGTGGTTAGCTAGATCTATGAACCGCACGGACATCACTTCACTCTAATGGATGGTCCCAAATGTAATCTGCTCTCTCTCTCTCACTGGACCTGTTCAAATGAATCATAGCGATCAAGAGCCTCTCTCTCTCTCTCTCTCTATAGACTACTATTTTTGGACCCCCAAGGTTTCCAAAGAGCTAACTGTCTGGTCGGCAATAGAAATTGGTTAGAAATTGGTACGAGAGAAGCATCTCTTGGTAAAAACCAAATATCTCTCTGCCACCATTTATTTAATGGAGCTTCCAACATGAATTTGCAGTAGCCTCTGCAACTTCAGGACCTAACCTCAATGTCTGCCACTTCCTTTCCTGCCTCAATTCAAACACAATACTCATCTCCCCTTTATTCGGCCCCTACGTTTTTTCTTTTTCTTTCAGCTAATCCTCGCTTTTCTTTCAGCTAATCCTCGCTTTTGCAACCTAACTCCTATGAAAAGATCAAACTCACGAGAAATGGACCTTAACTCACTCTCCACACTATTTATAGCGATTCGCAGGAGGTTTCTCCCTCCATCCAACCAAGAAAGTTTGCCTGAAAAGCATTTCAATGCCGTTCCCTGGAGTGAGACCTTGCTTCAGATGCATTTATACTGACGTGCCTCAGTTTGAAGGCATTCATTACAGTTTATCCACTGAGCTCCTGCCTTCTCTCGGGGCAAGGATCAATCAAAGAATAAAGCTCAGGAAACCCATCATATCTCCTTTCAATCCACGTTACAGGTAATTTATTTTGTTTCCCAACCTCTAGAGGTAATCATATTAACCATTTCATGGTTTCGTGCAACATTTTCCGTCCGGGATGATCAATTGAGCAAAACGAGAAATTTCTTATTACTCATATTATGCTTTTCCTGTCATTTTACAGAGCGTGGGAAATTTTCCTGATTTTTTTGGTCATATACTCAGCATGGATCTGCCCATTTGAGTTTGCCTTCCTGAGATACAAGCAGGATGCTCTGTTTATAGTCGACAACATAGTCAATGGATTCTTTACCATCGACATCGTTCTCACCTTCTTTGTTGCATATTTCGATCATCGATCTTACCTTCTTATCGACAATCCCAAAAAGATTGCTACCAGGTCCTTGCCCTTGTCCCCCTTTTTTCTCCCAGCATGTTTTCTTGTTTCCTCTCTACTTACAGGGAGTACCATGAAGTACAAATGATGCTAAAAATCTTCAATTATTATCTCTCTCTAAATCCTTTAAGTTCTTTTAATCCTTTGAAAATCCAACTCATAATAGGGACTCTGGGTGAATATCTTGCAGGTACATATCAACTTGGTTTATCTTTGATGTCTGCTCCACCGTGCCCTTTCAGCCATTCAGCCTCTTGTTCACAGATGATGACCCAGGAATCGGTTTCAAAGTGCTTAACATGCTTCGGCTGTGGCGCCTTCGAAGAGTCAGTGCCCTCTTTGCAAGGTCTAATTCATTTCTCAAAACACCGTATCGCCTTGAATTTCCCCTTCCCCCAATCTTCAGTTCAAATTCTGTTAAATAGAAAGGAGAACCAAGAACATCAGAGACCTAAGCTAGCTTTTACCTTACCTCAGGCTCGAGAAGGATATTCGCTTCAACTATTTCTGGACCCGATGCATAAAGCTCATTTCCGTAAGCAATTGGCCACCCATTTCTTATTTCTTCTTTTCAAGTACCACTGAATTACTAAAAAGTAAAAAAGTCGTTAAGACAATGCTTCATTTGAGTGAACAGGTTACTCTATTTGCAGTCCATTGTGCTGGGTGTTTCTACTATCTAATAGCTCAGAAATACCCAGACCCCACGAGAACATGGATAGGTGCAGTGCGGCCAAATTTCAAGCAAGAAAGCCTATGGGTCAGGTATGTTACGGCTATGTACTGGTCCATCACAACCCTCACAACAACAGGATATGGTGACCTGCACGCAGAGAATTCTAGAGAGATGCTCTTTGATATATTCTACATGCTATTCAACCTCGGACTCACAGCATATATCATCGGGAACATGACCAACCTGATCGTCCATGGCACCAATCGTACCAGAAGTTTTGTAAGTCATCTTTTCAATGGTACCAAATACCAGAGAGAGAGAGAGAGCAGAATATAAAACTAGAATGCTGCTCGCTCTCTCTCTCTCTCAACGAATGAATTGTAGGGACAAAGCTGCCCAATAGCCCACTCTATATTGTACACTTCCCATTGATTCAAAAAGTGCAGACCAACTAGACAGGTTGTCCTTAGGTGCCTGCCGCCTAGGGACCCTAGGCGCCCACCTAGTACCCTGCCTTGGTGGATGCCCACGAGACTGCACCCGTCTAGGTGAAAAATACTCAGAGAGAAGTATTTTTAGTGTTTCTTTGTTTGGATTATAAAAAATACATGAATGCATTTTTTATACAAGATATTGGGTAAATAGTATTAGTTAAGCTCCAGGTCACTAGCTTTGAAAAATGTCATTCTGCTTTTGTAAAATTACCTATGTATCCTAATTAATGATTACGATATTAATTAAAAGTAGCTTTTATTTTTACCAAAATTTTTGTAATTACACTCATCACAAATCAATCTAATATTCGTCTTTGTATTTTGAGGAATTGCTAACTGTAGAGAAAACCTATGTGCGTGGGAATATATTAAAGGGAAAAGTTTATATAGAGTCGAGGCTCTGAACAATCAAATTAAAGCCTACCTCAAAAATTTCACTAGAAGAGGCTGTTTTGATGCCCAAATATCCTCAATTTGATCATCTCGACATCAAGATGCATGGACATGATAAAAAAATGGATTTCAAGTTTGAAAATAATGTATTTTGTAATGCATTTTTGGACAATCAATTTTCAAGATTTTCAAGTTTTCATAGATCAATCGATCTACACTATTTTTGAAGCTTTAGACTTTATACATAAAGATGAAAATATATTTTAAGGCTATCACAATGATTTTCAATATTGAAACCACATTTCTCGACACTATTTGAAGGTAGGCTCTAATTTGATTGTTTAGAGCCTAGGCTCTATACAAACCGCACCCTATATTAAATATATGTATCTTACATGTGCAACGGCCCACTCCTCTAGTAACTAGGACTGCAGCTCTATCCAACAATTGAGAGATAAGGAATATATTTATATGGAAAAAGTTGATACAAGGGTGATGCCCTAAACAATCAAATCAGAGTTATCGAAATCTCTCCACCAACCTCGCTTTTCCTGTTCTGAAACCTTCCGCATTTCTGTTGTGGAATCTCCACGGAAACAGTTTTTTGAAACGAAGGAAACTTGATTCCTTAATTTCGGAATCTCGATTCAACTCCTCTTTAGAAACCATTTTTCGGAACCAAGGAAACTCGATTCCTTAATTTTAGAATCTTGATTCAACAATCTTTAGAAACCATTTATCGGAACCAAGAAAACTCGATTCCTTAATTTTGGAATCTCAATCCAACACATATTTAGAAACTAGAACCCATTAATTATAGGTAGGCGTTCCCAAATATATCGAATTTGGATTCCAACAAGAATTAAATCTTGATTTCACGACAATTGGAGTAGAAATCCTCCTTCAAATGCTTCTAGTGGTTGCAAGGTTTCATTATTTTACTTGTGCCACCATAGATGGCCTTTATTTTAAATTTAAAATATAACTGGTAAATACAACGCATAAATTAAAGTAAAACCATGGCGTAGACATAATCCTATTTTGTTTTTATAATAATGAAATCAAAATAACAATTTAGAAATACTTGTCTTTTGTATATAATGACCATAAGTTCAATAGTCAACACATTCACTTTAATTTTTGAGAAGCCATCTAATAAGAGACATCCAATATAGGTTCTAAAGTTGATGAGACTCAAGATGTGCTTATGGTTTCCTTCTCCATAAAATGATATCTTGATTCTTGGTAAGGGTCGTCAAATGCAGTCCATAGTCCATATTATTATAAATCTCGATCTCAAACTTGCATGAATCTCTGATCCATATACTTCAGAAACTTGATTCCAAATGTGTTAGAATCCCGAATTCTGGAGTGTCGATTCCAGGGATGGGAATCTCAATTCCAAGGATGATAGAATTTCCATTCCATATGTAGATGAAACTTAGATCTATTTTGATCGAAACACGATTCTCAAAAACTAGGAATGTCGTTCCTAGCGAGCGATTCCTATTGTGCGGACGACAATTCCAAAGACATGAATCTTCTAGCCGATCGTGATTCCACAATCCGGGTTCCTAAAACGATTCGGATTCCCAGACATTTCCAACAACTATGAATAAAATTAAGGCGCTCCTCAATAATTATTAGAAGAGATTGTTTCGATAGTCAAAAATTCTCAAATTGATCATCTCAACCTCAAGATATATGAACATGAGAAGAAATAGATTTCAAGTCTTAGAAATAGTCCATCTTGTAATGTATTTTCTGGACCGTCAATTTTCAAGATTTTCCAAGTGTTCACAAATCAACTCGATCTACACTATTTTTTAAGCTTTAAATTTTATAATTAGATGTGAAAATAAATTTTCAAGTCATCACAAAGATTTCCAATACCAAAACAACATATTTTGACACTATTTAAATGTGGGACTTATTTTGATTGTTTAGGGCCTCAACCCAATATATATATATATATAAGAAAAATTTTAAAAATGCCTATAGGCGAAAATGAATAGTGTTTCACGCCAACACGGACTTGCTATGTCCATGATGGTTTATTGAACGGACCCGCAACAAATGGAGCAATGTCCGTGACAGTACCACCACTGTCATGCTAGGTCTGTGATGGTTGTTTTATCCATGCCGTCCAATTTTATTGGATGGTGATGAGCCTATAAGTGAAATCACTGTAGCATTTCACCAATAAGCGTTGCGTAGTCTCTTCCATATATATATATATATATATATATATATATATATTACAGTATACGCGAGACCAAATATGTAAATATATGTATCTTATATGCCTCTGTGTGTCTATGTTTTTACCGCTGACTGGCATGCCCATATTTGGAAGCTGTAGAGGGAAACAATCCATACAGTGACCAACTTTGTGGCTCGTAATCAACTGCCCCCACGCATAGAAGATCAGATGTTGGCTCACATATGTGTCAAGTTCAAGACTGAAGAACTCAAACAGCAAGAGACCTTGAACAATCTCCCCAAGGCTATCCGTTCAAGCATAGCTCAATATCTCTTCATCCCTATTACTGAAAAAGTGTATCTCTTTCAAGGAGTTTCCCATGACTTCCTCTTCCAACTGGTAAGATTTCTCCTGGTTTTCAGACCCATCCATCTATCTTTCAACTCGACAAGCCCAAGTTTACACTAACACTAATACAATCCACTGCAATGGAAAGGTTTCAGAAATGCAAGCTGAGTACTTCCCACCCAAAGAAGATGTGATACTGCATAACGAGGCTCCCACAGATCTTTATATACTTGTTTCAGGAGCTGTGGTTAGTCCCAATTCAAAACTCCTAAATCCCATCTCATATTGGATGAAGGCCCTTAGTAATTTATATTTCACTTATTTACCTATCTTGATTTTGATCTCAGGAATTGACAGGATATAAGGATGGAACTGATCAGGTACAAGCTATTCCTTTTTCTTTAGTGATGTATAAACAATTACAGTAGAATTAACAGAAGATCAAGAGGTTCAAATATATATGTTTTATTTCCTTGTTTTTGGGAGACGGGTGTCGGATACATAGCAAAGTTCTGGGCTGTGAGACAAACTCCATAACATTAGGGTAGGTCAATTAATCCAGCATATCATGTTTCCAATGATCCATTTAGGTTCATGGGAGGGCATTCTCAGGGGAAATGTTTGGAGAGATTGGAGTTTTGTGCTGCAGACCACAGCCATTCACTGTCCGGACCACTGAGCTATCACAAATCCTACGGCTCAACCGGACTCCACTCATGAATATTATTCAAGCAAATGAGGAAGAAGGGAAGATTATCATGAACAATCTTTTTCAGGTATAAAACGTATCCATGTATGGATTCAAAACTTGATCTTGGCTAAAATTTATCAATCCGTTGGCCGTATGCAACCCTTGGGTTGCATGAACAATCTTTTTCAGGTATAAAACGTATCTATGTATGGATTAAAAACTTGATCTTGGATAAACTTTATCAATCCGTTGGCCATATCAATCCCTTGGGCAAAAACCCATGGGTTGCATAACATCCAAAATTAATGAGTTTGTGTTATACCATACGCTGAACCCGGACAAATCTTTTACAGATGTTCACTGCCATCTGGCAAAGGAAGCAACTTCTAGCATTATTCTTCATTTAGTTTCAGATCATATAATTTTACAAGATATTTATGGGAACCTGACATCAAAAGTTTATCCCACAGAGCAGCTGACATTGCAAACTTCAGTTATTCCCTTTCTAGGCTTGGAAGTTTCTTTTGAAATTAAAGCTAGCCCAATTTTTTATCTGAATTCCAGAATTTCGTTTCAGGCCCCAGCTGAATTAAAATCTGTAATTACAAACTATGGATTTAGAAGCTGAAATCTGGACATTTGATATTGTAGTTTTCCTAACTGGCATAAATAAGGCCAAAACTCTCTTTTCCCTGCTGCAGCATTTGACAGAGCAAGAAAATACATGCTCAGACATCCTACAAACAGATCCAGAATGGCATGATGGTGGACCCCTTTCTTGCATAAATAGGAAAGACACTCTCGAAGGGAATGCTTTGCTACCGGAAACAGATGATGTTGGGGAGTCGCTGTGCTTAGCTGCCAAAAATGATGACTTAAATACAGTTGAAGAGCTCATAGAACATAAACCAGACGGACAACAAAGAACAGCTCATGTTAATTTTCTTCTAGAAAGAGGTGCAGATACTAATAAAGCAGATGCTAATAATCAGACGCCAAATACCCTAACAGAGAATAGGAGGCATAACAACACTTCCATTCTATGGCAACATTATGGAAAAAATAAAGGTGACCCAAGTAATCCTAGCAGAGATTTAGTGGAGACAGAGTGTGTAAATGACATGAGGAACAGTAAACACCCAATGAGAAGAGAGGGTACCCGTTATGCAGATCCTCTATTCGGCATGGCAGCATCATGTTCCACTCCCAAGAACAGCAGCCGACCCATTGACAGTGAAGCCCTGAGATGGATCAACAAGAGAGTCACAATCCACATGCATTCTCCACGTCAAGAAATGTCAAAGCAGCAGCAAGGGAAGTTGATCATCCTCCCTGATTCACTACAAGAACTCCTCATGATTGGCAGTAAGTACCATTTAGACCATATTTCATAATTGAGCCTTCAATAAATTCAACAAGTTTTGGATGAGGACAGAGATAATCATGAAATTCGAAACAAATGACCTAACATCAAAGCCCCCTGAAGCATGAGTAAAGCAACTCACATAAATCAAGCGGTCTTTTGGAATTGATTTTCTCCATTCATTATAGGAATATCTTTGTGCATTGCAGAGCAAAAGTTTGTGGGTCACAACCCCACATTAGTGGTCAATGAAGAGAATGCAGAAATTGATGACATTGGCGTGGTCCGAGATGGGGATCATCTGTTTCTTATTGAAGAGAAGTTCAAAATATGTAGCAATGTGGGCTAATTGATCTCAAGAGGCTTTCATACACACTGCTGGGTGTTCATGCGTCTGGAAAAATTGTAAGATACAAAGTAAAGGGAAAAAAATCGTGGCTTATTACTAAATATCACACTGTAACCATCAATCGTTCCCAAAACAATATATATCTCAAAAAGAAAATTTTCTTTTCCTTGCTTATTCTGTCACATACACCTTACAAGACCAAAAAAAATCCAATCATTTGTATTACCCAGAAATCCAGTAAAGGGCAGAGAAAAAAAAAATAAAACCGACCACCAAATGTTCCCAATGGTGACAGGAAATGGAATTCAATCTCAGTTCTACTACTAACTTCTGCAAACAAGCTTGATAAGAAAACTCCTTCTAATATATCACTGATAATGGGCTTTAATATCATTCCCGTAATAACTTCTACAAACGGGCTCAGTAAAAAGTGCATATTTCAGTCAGTGGATGTTCCCTTTATTGTTATCCCTCAAGGCCTCGTCCTCCATGGCAGGGCATAAAGAACAATCAAGTATAGCCCAATAAACCAACCAGATTCTGCTTCAAACCAAGAGAACCTGAGGGCACCTCATGCTCGATATCCTTTACAAAACTCAAGAAGGGTTCAGATATCCACATCATGCTTGTTTACTAGTCCAGTCAATTGGAAAAGGATGAGCCTCTGTGTTGAAAACAAACTTATCCAGTGGCAGGATGTTGTTCTCCCCAAACAACAGGTACAAATACTTTAAGGTTTCCCCCAAGAAGAAGGTTTCCATCTTGTCTCTTTTAGAAGGGGGGAGTGTGGTGACATCGTCCAAAGAACTGTATCCTCCAGACTCAACCTTCGTGTACTTCTCAAAGGCCTGAAAAATCTGCCAACCCCATTCACGATACCTTCATCAAAGTTGTTCAAGAGTCAGATGAAATTGTATGAGAGACCAAATCAGGTATAATTGAGGTCAGCAGCACTGATATTACTCAAGCATTTTCATATTTCATATAGCAACGGTTAGAAAGGGTTTGAGAGAGCGCTCTTAGAAATTCAAATCCAACAGAAAATATTAATCTTACTTTGGATCTTCTGTAATGCGATGCAATACAAACAGAGATTCCACAGTTTCGGGGCGCAAAAGATTATGGCGATCAGGATGCTTGATAATAATATCGTCCACATACTCTGAGCTTTTATTCCCACCACTAAGGCCATCTTCAGTGTTTCCCTGATTCAAAAGTGAGAAGCAGAAATTACTTTTCAAGTTCCACTACAAAGAGAACTAAGCTTGAAGTAGAAAAGTGAAACTTCCCAGTCACCGTCAACGGAAGTCATATTCACCAGTAATAACACGTCTAATATCCAAAATGTCATCAATTTAGTTCCTCACCTCTGTCCGGAAGTAAGCAATTTCCGGAGAAAGACCAGTAGAGGTCACAGAGTACATCTCATAACATGTCTTTGCCAGCTCTTCAGCAAGCTTCAAATTTTGGAAGTCATCCATGGTCATCATGTTATCTTCCACTGCTTTCTTCTTGGTACGGCCTTTTGTAGCACCAAGAGCAAGAGTCCCTGGAAGAAAGCAAACCTGCAAAAGCAGCAATCAAATTTCTAAATCAAGAACCCATTGATCACATTTGACACTCCATGACCAGTACGCCAATACAAGATGTGTAATTCAATGTTAGGCATAATGTTTGATAGCCCTATAACTATGTACATAAAACAATCTTGCATCAAGTACCGAAAATTTTGACAGTACTAGGAAACAATTCTTGTATACGAACAGAATCATGCATGATAGCATCACAGGTCATGTGGAAAGATTTCGATCGAGAAGAACCCAGATGTAAATACTCTTCTTGATGAGCAAATGCCAAATGAACAAAGAGTAAACCTTCTGGAGAAGAAAGGCGTTCGAATAGAAAATCCACATTCTCTATTGGTGCACTACCACAAAGACATTTGCAAAAAGAGCGTATAAACTAATTTAAATTTCTATTGCACAGGCAAATAGCTACTGTCGATTGGACTTCTATTACCAAACAAACAAAATAATATGGCCAATAACAATACAAGGAATGAATATCAAACTCCCATACTTATCCTGAAAGCCCCCTCTAAGTCAACATTTCAGCTGCTGTTTGCCATGCAAATGCAAGGGATGGCAATGGGATCTCATTAGTGTTAATTTGGAAGAGAATCCAATCCATAGACATAAATTATTGTAATCAGAATTGTTATAAACATGTATTTATGAGTATAATGACCTCGAAGGAATTTTTATGCACTCTAAGGACAATGCGTAAGGACCTCAAAGTAACACAGATGAGAATGCCCCTCAAAGATACAATCCAACCGACATTTGTAGTTTATGGAACAGAAATACAAATATTTATTAGTGTGAACTGGGAAACATATAAAGATAAATGCCAAATTGTTTGCAATGTATTTATGTCAATCTCTATCCAATGACTTGGTAATCAAATTTTGCGACCGCCTTTGAGGATGCAATATGAAGAACAGTAATGATGCCATTCAGGTGTCAAACATATCAAAAGATTTGCCTTCTCAAGGAGGAATTACCTTGTCATAGTTATTTGAAGAGAACAAGTATGATCTCTATGGAGAGGTGGGTACAATGAGATATGCATCCTGAGGCTAGGCAAGAGAACTCAAAGATGAAAATGCATGGAACTACATTGCCATAGACTAAACTTGGGCACAAAACTCTGCTCCTTTGCGGGCTAGAAAAATATGTCGAATCTCCTGCACAGGCTAGAGTCGCTAGTATTAAAAACTCTTGCTCAATCTGAGGCTACATAGGCCACCAACAAAAATTTGTCCACGATGGTATAGAAAGATGGTAAAATGGAGTTGATCTTACATATCAGCAAAACCACATAAGATTTCTACTGAGACTGCACAAACTGAATTATTAAGACTCAAAGAGGCATAGCAAGTAGGGAATAGTCAAATTACCAAAGAAAAAAAGAAAATGAGTCTGTGATAGTCAGTTACAGAAGCCTACCAACCAAGCACCTTTATATGATGCATCTGCAAGTGTGTCTCCCCCACTGAATGAGTGCTTCATATCAAAAGCCAAAGGCATATTCTCCATGAGGAATTAGATCCAGCTACATACCTACCCCATTACTGTCGCTTGACAATGATCCAATAATGTCCATTTAAGGTGAATATAGAACATAAACATCAGTAAGTACAATGACACTGAGACCAGAGGACTCACAACATGGACATAATAATGGCCTAAATACAAAGAGGAGTTTATGACCCTCTGACTACCCCCCACCCTCGGTAAAGTACCACATTCCAGAACTTCCAAATCTAAGTTTGAAGAGATTGTTCAAGTCCATCAAGTGTGCTCTTCAGTCAGGAACCGAAAGCTTGGCTGAACCAGCCCCTAGTTACAGCACAGTGAACAGTCCCATCATGGTTTTTATAAACCACTGCATGGGTGTGCTCCTTTAGTACCAAAAGAGACACACAATGGCTAAGAGCTCCAACTACAAAGGTTTAACCTTGTAAATCTTACTTATAACCAATAGGTATTCTCCCAAATAAGCAGATTTTTAGTATCCAAATAATGCCTGTGTTGAAATTCTTCTTGCATGAATATTTGAAGGCGGGAGAGGGCTCATGAGCAAAAACTCAAAGGATGACAAGAGTGGAGTAATAAATGAAAGGACCAACTGAATCTCAAACTGGAGAGGACAAGAGTTGCAGGACTGATAAATGAAGGACCAACTGAATCTCGAAACAGAGAGGAAAAGCAATGCAGGAGATGGAGCGCGTAATAGAAGTAGAAAATAAGAAGTATTAGAATTAGACGGCAAAGAAGTCGTTCAAATGAGGGGCTATTGGGTAATGAATCAGTAAGAACATTACTGACTTTATGCCTTCAACTGAGGTTGGCTATTTGCTTCATAGACAGAGAAATTTGTTCTTTGTGCTCAATGTATCTAATGCAACTATCAGGCAAAACAGAAGACAAAATGGAGATTACTGAAAAGAGTAGAACCAACTTTCATAAGTATACAGGAAGGATGCCAAATACAACTACAGTTACAAAATATGTACAAGGTAAAAAAGAATAGAAAAAGGGGAGAGACAAAATCCCCTCAGACGCAAGCAAATATATGAGCTCATTTTGCCAAAACTTGAATTCCATACAAAAGTTATCATTAACATTTCTCCCTCTTACCAAAAATTAATTAAATCAAGTCATTCTTGACCCTGATACAAACATCCTAATGCTATGCCTAGCCTTTCACTTGAAAGAATTGAAATGGAGTTAGTCCTGATTAGTTTCAAGTCCAAGTTATATTTTATAGTCCAAAGAAAGCCATTTTGAACACATACATATGAAGAAAATTTCATGTATGTCAACTGTTTAATGAGAAAAGAGTTCCATCCTTCATAGTGCAAAGAAAACTATTTTTTATAACTTGGCTTTTAAAAATCCAATATATCGTAGTCAAATGCAAGCCAGTAGATCCAAGACCATTATATTGGCCCATATCTGAAGAGCTAACTTAGGCAGAACCTTGAACGGAATCCATTCAAATCACCCTGAAGTAGGTTACGCATGTAGGGAAAGGGGTTCATTGCCCTTGTGGATTCCAATAAACGCCTGCACCAGTAAGTTGAGAAGCGTATATTCAAAAGAAGTTTAATCCATACAATAAGATATAAAATTTTCATTTATTAAATATATATCTTTTTAGAAGGTCCTCGATAAGTACATATTGTTCCCAAATTTCCCAATGTCAAGTGTCAGTTTGACTGCATAAATCTGTAAATGGCATTCATCTACCATTTGAAAGGGTTGGTATTTTGCCCGATTAAAATTTGCTAATTAGAACACCTCTCTCTCTCTCTCTCTCTCTCTCTCTCTCTCTCTCTCTCTCTCGTCTCGTCTCTCTCGTCGTACTCGTCTCGTCGTCTCTCTCTACTCTCTCTCTACTCTCTCTCTCTCTCTCTCTCTCTCTCGTCTCGTACTCGTACTACTACTCTA